TCCCTGATTCTGAAGTTTGAAAACTGAAGAAATTTGAAAATTTTCCTAATCAAATGATAAACTAAAATTATAATTATTTCAAGATATCTATAATAAGTGTAAAATAAAAAAAAATGTTCTCTTAGTGACAATATCACAGGTACTAATACAACTGAGATTTATTGTCCATATTCATATTTTTTGATGCTACATATCATTTTAGAGGTTAATGAAAATAAAGATCTAATTGCTTTTCCATCTCAGTTTAGGAACATTTTTGAATTCTATCCAGAGATACACTCTTCCCTACCTACTCTCCACTAAATTATGAACCCTGCTCTAGTGATATGGGGAGGTTTTGAGCATTTGAATCTTTTCTTATTCATGAACTGAACTGTGTAAGTACCATGCAGAGGGCTCCTTTTGCCTTCTGTTGAAAACCTGTCATGTTTTAACAATGCTGGTAATTGTTCTGAATTACAGTCATACCCCCTTATTTGTAGGGATACAGTCCAAGACCCCGAGTCAATTCCTGAAACTGCAGATGTTTACTACATGTTTCCTGTACATGAATACCTATGATGTAATTTATAAATTTAGCACAGTAGGAGATTCACAACTAGTAAAATAAAAAAATTATAACAATACACTGTAATAAAAGTTATGCGAATGTGGTCTCTCTCTTCTCTCTCTCTCTCTCTTTTTCCCTTTTTTCCTTTGATAACTGATCTGATAACCAAGATGGCAACTTAGTGACTAACAGGCAGTAGTGTACACAACACAGAATGTATACACTGGACAAAGGGATAATTCATGTCCTGGTCAGGACACAGCGAGATGACATGAGATTTCATCACACTACTCAGAATGGTATTTAAATTTTATTTCTAGAATTTTATTTCTAGAAATTTATTTCTAGAAAATAAATTTATTTATTTAAAATAAATAAATTTATTTAAAATTTATTTCTAGAATTTTCTACTTAATATTTTCAAACCAAAGTTGACTGCAGGTAACTGAAATCTTGGAAAGCAAAACCACAGATAAGGGAGGACTGCAGTATTCTTTTAAGTCTTTAACATGTATGTTAAGGTAAATAGGGGGAAATATTGCAAGCACACATTATGTGAAAATGCATGAAAAATTTCAGTATGTGATGTGTCGTACTCTAAACTCAGACATATTATGAAATAGAGTCATGATGAAGAACTCAAATGAAATTACTTATTTGCCCTTTACAGTTAAAAAAAAAAATGCATAGTGGTATACAATTCTAAGGCTAAGAAGAAAAGGAAAAGCTTCTTTAATTTCCTACTATTGTATTCAGGAAAACTGAAGAAACCCCTGTCTTGAAGACCTGCTCATCATTATGGCAATATATTTCTAAAATAAATGATGGCAATATGTTTATTTTAAAAAGAGAGTTATTGAAACAAACAAATTCTATTTTAGCATTAACTATTCCCTGTGAAACCAATATTGCATTTAATCTGTTTTTGAGGTTTTATGCCATAAATACTAACTCTACTGCTAAACATTTCAACTCTGACATTTCCATTTGGATCATCAGTGACATCACTGCTTGGTTTGTATAAAATATATACAATGAGACTTAGAGGGGAACAACAGAAATATTACTTAATATATAATTTTATTTAATAGGTTCCTTACAAGAAGCCATATTCATATTCAATGCAAAATATGAATAGCTTTAAGAAAATAATGTCCATTGGAATTTTAGGTATTTAACTAAGAGATAGCTTAAAGTTAGCAATTATATTTTAAATAATAAACATACATATTTATATTCTAATAAGAGAAAAGAGACGTCAACCCAACTAAAATAAGATCATCTCTATATCTCTTAAAATATTTGGCAACATAAGTAGTAATTATTCTAAATTAAAAATTATATCTAATAATCACTCACCATTTAAAAATCCTGTTTGAATTAAATGTTGAAAAACAAGTCAGGGTCATTGTTTAGAAAACTACTTTAAATTTTTCAAACTGCTTATGCAAACACTATAGTTGATCTTTTCACTTCATTAGTTAACACATTGTTTAATTGCTGATAAACTAAAACTACAGCAGTATATATAAAACAACACTATAAAAAACACAGGGAGGTAATGTGCAAATTGTACTATGGAAGTCAAGTTCCCAGTGTGTGAGAGGAAAAAGTAAAGATACTAAAAGGAAACAACATATCATCTTTTAAGAACTGTATTAAGTTCATTGTTCTGCCCTTCTCCTTTCCTTGGAGATTAAAAAAAAAAAAGTCAACAGCTAATTGAAACATGAAACTAATATACTCCCATAATTTATACACACAATTTCATGCGTTTCCTCAAGGTTATATAGGTTAAGTAACTCTGTTATTCTTTTGAGATATGTTGTCAGGACTGAGGGAAAAGATTATAGTAGCTTTCTTGTTTTCTTCCTTTCTTTCACTTTCATAAGTCTATTTAATATTCATAATAAATAAACGATATATCTGCAGAAATCCACGTTTTTGAAATTTTATGTTTACAAAAGAAACTGCAAACCTTACTTAATTCTCCATTATTCTCTCTTACCATGAGGTCCAAACCTTAACCAAATTGCTCAGGAAACAGAGTATAAGAATCAACTCTTAAACCAACCTCACAAGAAAAATGTGTGGAAGAAGCAAATAGGGGATGAGATTTTCATGGGAACGAATGTCCAAGTGGATCAACTACTTAATGGACCAAAATCCCCAATTTTCACTACTGTCAATGATGATCCCAAACAGAAGTAAATGAAACACTCCTTAGTTTTTCCTTTCCTAAGTATGTAAGGTCAACGATTTTGTGAGTGATATGAAATCAAGTACATAGAACTTTGTTTAACCTAAGTTCAGAAAGAGCAAGAGAAAAATTAAGAAAAGTGTTTTATGAACTCTTTGTTTTAGCTGTATCTTATTCCATTACATCAAAAGCTAATCGTGTTATACTTTAAATAATAAACATAAACTTAAGTCTGTAACACAATTCTCACCTAATAAAAAAGATGAGAATGTTAACTCAAAAAATTAATGCAATTCTTATTACAATCATAAAATATGAGATATGGTCAAGGGTACAAACTTTATTCATGTGTTTGTCTAGGAGATTGTGGACTTGTTAAGGACAAGAACAGTGGTTCCACTATCTAATTGCTCCAAATACTAGGTGTTAAAAAAAAAATGTGCTGATTGAATAAAATTGATACAGAGCATTGTGGCTGTAGAACCTCAATTAAAAAAAAAAAGTGTTATTTAAATTGAAAAAAAAAATGAGTTACAGAATCTCCAGCTAATTATTAGAATATAACAAATACTAGGTGTTAAAAAAAATATTTGCTAATTGAATAAAATTGATACAGAGCATTGTGGCTGTAGAACCTCAATTAAAAAAAAAAGTGTTATTTAAATTGAAAAAAAAAATGAGTTACAGAATCTCCAGCTAATTATTAGAATATAATGACAAGAAAATTTTGAATAGGGAAACTAAAGGAAAGAGCTTTGTCTCTCATTTGAAAAATCTAAGGTGTTATCCAAGGGACACTAAACTTTCAATTAAGAAAGCAAGAGAAAATGAACATAAGTACTACTAATTTTGGAAATTTTTTAATAATCGTACATTTTAGTTCACAAATTCCTATTAACCTAATATGTAAATATATTAAAAGAAGTCATTCTCTTCTAAAACATGAAGGATATTTAACAGCTGCCTAAACAATCCTTTAACAAAAGCTCCTGCACGTAAGCATAATTCTCAGGGCCAAAGTTGAACAAATTTGTCTTGGGAACAAAACTAAAAAGAGAGAACACAAAAGTAATAAAGAACAGAGTTACTATGAAGTCAAGGAATGTTTGTTTAGGATATCACTCATCTCTATCATCTGCTTGATTTAAAATTTTGTTACAAAAGAGTCTAACTGCTGTAAATATTTTCCCATTAGGAAGAGATACTTAGTAAATTTAAGTACTTTTCCTGAAATTTAATTTTTAAAATTCATTTATTCTTGTCCTTTGGCCGTTGGGGCTTCCAAGCACATCCCTAAGGGCTGTAGGAACCACAAGGAGGATTCTAGGAGACTATAAAGAACAGATCTTGCTCTGATCTAAGCCATGGAAGCCATCTTCATTTCAATTAATTTACTTTGCCTTTATGAACTTAAGAGTCTGTCAAGGAGGCTGACATTTCACTCATCTGAAAAAGCTTGGAATGTGACAGGGGAAAGGGAGGAGAAGTAAATCAAAGGGGTTAGCAGTTTTCCAGATGCAATGCATTTTTCTTCTTTTCCACCAGAAATTTTAGAGCTTTCTGACATTTTAATTCCCTATGCAAAACCACAGTAGCAAAAAATGCTTACGGATCATATGTCAAAAAACTAACACACATGTGCACTAGCACATGTACATGAAATAAACATAAATTCCGATTTGCTGCTCCTTATTTCTTTTAGTGTATTTATTAGGTTTGTGTGTCGAATTTAATGACAAAACTTTAATTTAAAAGCAACAGCGGGTTTTGTAACATTTTTTTCTTGTGTATGATTGAGTCCATGCTGGCTTTCTCCTTAAAAAAAGATGGCACTTATAAAAACTGTTCTCATGGCTATAATTTAAATCACACAGGAATATTTCAGTTATCACCTTTAGCCACATGGTTTCAGGAAACTATACCCAAATATGGCATGCAAATTCAGGCCATTTTACAATAGTTCTTTTCTCATGGAGTGGAAATTCACTAAAACATCTAGGGGTAAAAAAAAAAATAAAATCTTTGAAACCTAAAGATAAATCCTCAGCAACAGGGGATGTGCCCATTGTGTCTTGGAGCCAGAGAGGGAGAAATGGCAGGTAACTCCTTGGAACACCCTGCTTCAATCTTTACCTGACAGCTTTGGTATCTTGACATTTTCCCCAGTGTACTTCCTCCTTTATCAGATCTTATTTTACAAGGGACTTCTCGTTATACCGAACTAACATAAATCAATCTATAACAGAGGAATTTGTTCAATACATTTATTCTTTTAAGAAGTTGCATGATGATATTTCATCAACTCATACAATAGAAAAAAGTTACTACTAAAACAGAGTTTGTGGAGACTGGTGAATGGTAAACCTATTTAGTCTTCAGAGGTTCATTCTTAGACTTTAATGTTAAATAATAACAACTATTCATTTAAGCTGGTCTCACTGTATATCTTGACCGTTAGCAATTCCACACACAGCAGCTTATTGTGGTATCCTTTAAATATGAGAAATAAGAATGTTTTACTTTTCCATTCAAAGAAAAACAGGAGTACTGTATGTTACATGGCCCACGAGATATTGGCAGTGTGCTCCTTGGCTTTCATTCGAAGGACTGCGATACTAGAAGACCTCCTTTCAAACTCTGGCTTTGTTTCAAACGCATGTCCATTGGTAGCCCCAGTAAGAAGAGAGTCAGTGAAAAAATTGTTGAGGGGCACGTGGCTGAACTGGTTCTGGTGGTTTGAAAACCCTGTGTAACTGGAATCTGTCCGAGGCGAATGAGAATAAGGTGTCATACAGGAGGAAGTGTCACGTGGTAACATGCATGAAGTAACCACAGAACCACCACTCGCATTTCCTGCCCACAAATTGTTCTGAATCTGGAATATATAAAACAACAAATATTACATTTATGTGTTCTCACTTTTGTTCTCTTACTTTTGTTACTTACTACATTTTGTTAATTATTCATTGTTTGCTGCTATTGGGTGGTCTGTAATTACATTCTGAGTACATAAAGCAATTACTAAAAAATAATTATTTGAAAAATTCTTCCAGTATGTTTTACTGTAATAGATCACCAAAACCCACATACTTAACCACATAAAATACTGTCAAAACATGTCAGTCTCTTGAGTATTCTTTTTATAGTCATAATTTTAAAAATGAAATCTAGAAGATTTAGTCATGATTCATGACCAATGCATGTGCTTAGAAAAGCGGTTTAAAATATGGTCTTAAGTTTAAATATAGTTTTCATATTTCTAAACAAATGACACAATTGTATTTCTTTTTAAGATGTGTAGTTGGACTCAATGTGGCAGTTTTTGTTGAAAACCATTGCTGACATTAGGCTGTTTGCTCTGTAGATATTTTTGATCAAACTCATTTTGGAAAATTTTGCCCTTTCATTGCTTTTTTATTTTCTATAGTCTTGAATACATAGCTCTGTGTATATGAGAAAAATGTACATATTTTAAACATTTATTCTATGATTTACATATGACATAGTGAGGTTGCAACAGAAGTATGACATGTAAAACAAACAGAATTCTAAAACATGACCACTACCAAGCAATGGAAGCATAATTGAGAAAAATTATTAGCAAAAGTATTAGCAAAAACATCATAGGAGTATAATTAAAGTACTTTATAACATCTTAGATAAGATTAAAAACTGGGTTATCATTTGTGCCCAAGAAATTCACATTTCACTTTATTAAAGCTCTACAGGTAACACAAATTTCTCTAAAGTTACTAGCATGTAAAAGAAACACTAAGTAGAATTTGTATAATATCAATTTTAAATAGAAAGTATCTTAAACCAGCTATTTAAACAAGGAAAAAAAAACAATGATTACATGCATTACTGAGAAGCACAGAGAAAATTGTGACAAACAGCAGGAGCTGGGGAAAAAGAAAAAGGAAAATGTTGTATGGTATAGCATGGTACAGAGATGCAGCATTAGAAGATGAAATTTAAAAAATCATATGCCTTTTGCAATATTACGATAGGTTTGAACTAGAACACAGCAGCAGTATATGTACTTATCACAGCTGGCTTTCTTTTTTAAAATAATAATTAGAATGAAATCATCAATTTCAACATTTACACAAATAATGTTTCCTTATATTTCTTTTTACAAAAAAAGATTCCAGTCCGCTACATATAGCCTCTGGTCTAGTCTTACAACACCCAGGCTTAAATTGTACTTTTTAAGACAACTTATTTTCAATTAAAATCAGAAAATATGTTAATGAATGTTCTAGATCACACTGGCAGAGATGTTACTCTAACACTCAAGAAAGGACCACTTATCCAGTTTCAAAACATAAGAGAAAATGTGAACAACTAATTTTATCTTTTAGTTAGGGCTTCAATGATTGGCAAGATGTTCATTTTAGTATTGTTTTAGAAATAGTTCTATGAATATTTTTATAAGCTGCTTTAAATATGTTAAATTTGTGAGATATATCTATAGATACATAACGGTTTACATGTATTATTAATCCTTAAATCATCATGGCCATGCTTTTCAATTTTGGCTCATTCTACTACATGTATCTCACTTCAGCCAAAATATAATTAGTGCCAGTGACTGCTGAGTTATGTATCTCATACCAACAAAAGGGGCTAATGCTTTTACTCTGTCAAACTAGCTCTTCCAACTTGATCTGGGTGATTTTCCCCTGACAGTCAATCAAACATTGTGCTATACTGAAAAAAAACTGAATTTGCTTATTTTTGAAAAAATAAGTGAAAGGCAAAATAGTGGTAGAAAAAGATTATTTACATTTTATATTTGTTAAAAGATTCCTCAATTTATATATAATGCTGCTAGAATTTATTAAAATCATCTATTCATATTCCAAATGCATAGAAATATATTTACCAATTAGGTAAAAAAAAAAAAAGAAAAGAAAAAGAAGAGAGGTAAAGGCAAGGAAGGTAATCTATGACTATAAAGAAAGTATTTTATCCTTAAAAGAATTAACATTAACTTATTTATAAGTTGAAAAGAAATTTTCCATGTCATAGGCAAATATTTTTATTTTAATCAAAACTTATCTGGTCATGACCAAGCAAGTTAAATGTGTTACTTTTGGTGAAATAATTTCTAACATGTAGAAATGTTTTCTGAATAGAACAGATTGGTTAAGCAAGTTACTACAGCAATATTTTAGGTGGACTTAAGATACACACATTCTCATAGGTAGCGATACAATTACACATTTTTACTGATATGTCTTGTTTCCATATCTATCTCCCTTCACATCTCCCATATCTTTCTTTCATTTTTAAATTTCTGGCATGTCTTCATTTGACTTTAGGGATCTAGTATATCAAAAGTTAGATACAAATCATAAAAGATAATATCCCCAGTGAATCAAGGTTTTGTTTCCTCTGAAGCATTCCCTCTGGATATTTAAAAATCCAATGATGACAATCAAGATGAGGCTCATGATAGTTAATTATCATGTGTCAGGCATCACACTAAATGCATTATGAAGACCCCTAATCAATTTAATATACTAAAAGGTATGTGAATGGACTATCCCCATTTTGTACAAGGTAAAACTAGAATGAATTGCTTAAGAACATCACCCAAGATTGTAATACACCAATGGTGGAGGTCAAATCTGAACTCAGGAAATGTTAAGGAATGTTATAATAAGATCAAAATTAGTTTTATGAGTTGAAATTGCTTGTTTACTTGTTCATCATCCTAACTCTGTGGGGATTCATATACTCTGCACTCTGAAAGCAAAATCCCTAATGATTACTCTCAAACTGTTTCCTCATCCTCAGGCATTAACACAATACACAATAAGCCCTTAATACAAATTTATTAAGTGATTGAAAATCCCTAAGAATATGAAATTTGGACTGATCCAGCTTATACATGTAACCAAAATTTTATAGATAACTTATGTTAATATATCTAAATTTTATTTCATAATTTGAACTCTAGAATGTATACTATATACTATATAAGGCGTATACTATATAACTTTAACAGAAATCATGACAATTACATACCTAGACCTTGCTGACTATATTTCCCTAGGTAGTTGCTTTTCTATTAAATATTTATTCTCTATCATAAATGCATCTTCTTGGAGATTTTGATTGATTAAGCATGGGCTGTGGCTCAGGGGATCTGTATTAAAATAATGGCAATGATAATAACATGCACATTCAATTCTGAAATCACCTGGGATTAGAAAACATTACTGAAGTCCAACTTCCTTCCATATGCAAAAACTCCTTGTGTACTTTCAATTATGTTTACTTCTGTGACAAGAAGCTCCCCTGTTTAAAAACATTCATTCCCTTTTGGAGAGCTCTGTAAAAAATTGAGCTGTTATCTTCCTCTATCACTTCTATTTCTGTTCCTTAAAATGATATAGAATAAGTAGCATCCTTCTTACATGTGAAAATTTTCAAATATCATAGGCAATTTTACACTATTGCAAGTCTCTCCTCGTTGAGCATCCCTCATATACATGGTTTCCAGACTGCTCATTCCAGTCACATTCCTTGGAATGATGGAGGCTGTCACCCTTCACCTTTATCAGCTTCTGGCACTAACAACAGGATATCATATTCTAAATTTCATCTGATCACTGTAAGGAAAAACTGGCAACATCATCTTTGTTCTAGATCATCTACTTCTGTTAATAAGTGAAGGCAATATTTGACTTAACAACAAAGTTGTCTGAGATTGTGGGTTACTAAATCTACTGCTGTCAAGGTGGGCTCATTCTACGACTCCTCCATCCTGCTACCAATTCTAGTCTTATATAAGTGGTCATTTTAAAATTTTGTGCTAGATCTACAAGTCATACTGTCTAAAACTGTATGTATCTATATGTATATATTTGACAACAGAGAAGCCATATAAAAATCTTGCTGTTAAATGTTGGAATAAAAGAATGCATATTTTTTTCTAAATAGGATCACTACCTTTCTTCTTTGGACTATTTCACAGACACCTAAAATGGTAGTGCCCAGCACCAAATAATTCTTGGGGTGTTTTTGTAGGTTCCTAACTGTATAATAATCAAGGGCTTTACAACCAGGAACAACATTAAATAATGCCTACATCCTTCTTTCATGTGTGCTAAAAAATAAAAGAGACTGCCCGCCTTTACACATTTTCTTCTTTGTTATGTTTAAAAGGAGGGGGGAATCTAAAAACATTCTGTGTTTTAATGTGCTTTGCAACATTTTTAAAAGTTCTAGGGGTATGTTCAAAGTATTGTCCAGGGAACTTAGCCAAATGCCTCCCATTAAAATGAATGGAAGTTGGGCCGACTTACTGCACTCTACTCTGAACATTTGCCCCTTAATGTTTTTCTAATCAAATATAAATTTAACACTTAATTATTCTATGACTGAATTTTGGGAGAAAGTTGGTTTTTGTCTGATTCTTTCCAAATGGAAATCAAATTCATTTAACATTCATTTTTCTTCTAAGAAATTAAAAGCTAGGAAGGAGAAGATTTTATATATATATGTATAATTATACATATATTTTATATATATATGTATATATATAAATAAAATTATACATATATATGTAAAATATATGTATAATTTTATTTATATATAATAAATACACACACATATATGCATATTATGTATAAAAATACATATATATGTAAGTTATACATATATATGTAAAATATATGTATAATTTTATTTATATATAATAAATACACACACATATATGCATATTATGTATAAAAATACACATACACATTCAGAGTTCTTCACTGTGGCAACATATTTGTCATAAACTGAATAGGGTAAATCATAGATGAAAACTACCTTCACCTAGAAACTTGATATAGATATATTCTTTGTATAACCACA